TCTTAGACACATTTCATATTGTTGCTGGATAAATGAAAGATCACTGGAAGATATACAATTTACAAACACTCAAAAGGTACAACTCCGTAGCCAGTCTGGTCTCACTATGTCCAAAGAATGACTCATTAAATATCAATATAATTAGCAATTTATGTTGATTTCAAAATGCTCCTGCTGAGACAATGAGTACCTCCACATGGCCTCTGATGGTGCAGAATGTTGCTGGACACTCTGCACAAAGGGGCTTATCCTATTCTGCCCCAGCCTCTCTCCCCCTTTTCAGTACCCACTATATTCTGTGAAATGCTACAACCCACATTCAGTCTGTATTTGTAATGCATCCTCTTCTGTTCCTTCACATATGGCAGTCTGAAACAATTACATAATGAGACATTTTATCAGGGCATAACTGTCAGAAATGAAGACTAAGCTATGAATAAATATTACTCACTTATTAGCCGTGCTGCTCGTGTGTCCTGTAATCTATATGTGCCCCTGACTTTCAGATTTACATTCACATTCCTGATTACCTGTGTCAAAAATGAATGCAGCACTAATTATGTTCAGAAAGAGATATATGAAGATTGTAAAGATTTATAAACTTTAAAATGGCAAATTCTATTCTAAAGTACAGTTTCTTACCATTTTTGTGCAATAGTCTTTTTTACCAGTCTGATGAAATCTACTGACTCTTCTCAGACATAATGTTTTAAAATTTATAAAATAAAATATGTGGGCTAAAAAAGGAAGTCAATTATATTAAGCTACTGTTAAAATTTTGATTTTTGAGATATATATGCTTTCTATTAAAAATTATATTAAAATACTGTTAGAAATTTTGATTTAGAGATATATATGCTTTCTTACTAACAAATTAAAATCTAGAAGTTCAATAATTATTAAAATTTGACATAATTAATATAAATAACATTTTGAAATATTGCATAAAATAAAAATAAAAATAAAATTTAATGTATTATTTTATAGGGACTATTGTAGATATTTGGGTATTGTAGATAATTAAAATGTATTGCCTTCTCTTAAAGTAGGAATTATTGTAACAACTATAACATGATATTTATCAGTGACAAAGTCACAGGTATTCCTGCCTAAATTTATATTTGAAAGAAATGCTTAATTTCAATTACATGTTAGTGAAAATAAAGTTGCATTTCTCCTATTCAGATTCACATACTATGTGTTAAGAATCCTGATCCAATATGACCCAGTTTCGATGATTTTAAGTTTCTTCCCTTTGAAGCACCTCTTACAGATGTTCTGTTTTAAATGTGAAAATACCTAATTTGAAAGCTTGTCTTGTCTCTGTTTACTCCCATGGAGATATTTTAAAAGACATGTAAACTCTTTCAGAAATGTCCTGTGTTTTCCTTCAAAAGTATACTTTATAACATTAAATCAAACAAAGGCAACATCTTCCTCTAGATAGACACATATGCATCTCAATATCATAATGTCAGTATTTCACAGTGCTTGACAGATTACTTTTGAAGGTAAAGCTGTTTCCCACCTGATATCTCCAGGTCTGGTTGCAACTTCCGCCTTCCTATTTATGACTTTTCTTTTTCTCACACTCAAGAAAGCCAAGCAGAAGCAATGATTGAGCACACTAATGAATGTTAAACTGTTTTACTTTCTTTTATAATAAAGTTACTTGGAAACTTTTGGTGTTCCCTGATAAATAACAAATGGATTGTGGCAATCCTCATAGTACACAAGCCTGGTGAGATGCCCTGGTTGAGAACAGCTGTTCTATTCATGGTTACATACACTGTGGAATTAATGCTGAAACATTATGTCTTTCAGGCAATAAAAAAAAAATCTCCATTTAGCATTTATAACAGCAGTAATAAAGTGAAAACCGTTCTGATCTCAAAGTGTTCATGTTTCTCTAAAGCATAGGTTGACAAACTTATCTAAAGGTCTGCACAGTAAATATTTTCAGCTTTGTTGACCATATGGTCTCCACTCTACCTTTGTAGTACAAAAAGAGACAAAGACAAGGCCTAAACCAATGAATGTGGGTTTGTTCCAATGAAAAACTAATTTATGGGCACTGAAATTTGAATTTTATGTAATTTTTAGATACTGTAATACCTTATTTTAATGTTTTTTATTTTTTAAAATATATAAAACTCATTCTTAATTTGTTGTGAGCCATACAAAAAATAGCAAGGGGCCAGATTTGGTCCATACATCATCTTTTGCTGCTCCCACTCTTAAATATGAAGCCAATAGCCGGGTAGCAAACCCATTAAGTAGGCTGATCTAGCTGGTTAAGCCATCCCAAGGAGAACTGTATTTAAAATAACTCTTAGCTAGAATGTGAGGTGAGGAAGTGTGATGTGCCAAAGGATACCACATATAGAAACAAAATTCAAAATTACATAGAAACTCTCTCTGTCTGAAATCAATCAGGACCCTGATCTCAAAGATAACAGGGAGGGAGAATCAGTTATATACAGACAGATTTCAGATCGTGCTGTATCAAAAAATGCGGCAGTGTTATGGGAACAAATTTGTGCAATACAAATGTAGAGTTTCATTTTGTTTTTGTTTTCTCTCCCTGAACACCTAATTAAAAGGGGTATGGTATTTATTTGCCTTTGCTAGAGTTAGTAAACATGGCACTATTCCTATAAACTTATTTGTGTTAGCAAGAACATGAAAGTTTAAAAGCCCGGGTATCCTAAACCTATGAGAAATGTCTTCATTACTGATTATTAACAGCAGAATGGATATTCAAGGCATTTTTGCAAGCAGAAAAACAAAGACAAATTAAAAGAAAGAAAAAAAATCAGAAGGAGGGTGGTAGACAGTAGCAATATGGTATGGGTATAGACAGATCCCTGTGATTCATGAAGAAGTTAGGGCTCAGATTAACTCCGTCTTGAGAAAGTGTTTCATTTCTTATAGAATTGTTCCCATCGACCAGTTTCAGATCATTGCGGAAATCAACACAAAATTCTACCTATTTAGGAATGAGGCTGTGCAAAATACTAAATGTGAACTCAAATCCTGTGATGGTGATCATCGTGGTGGTAGTTGTTGTTTTATAAATATCAGCAGGCAAACATCTGGGACTCTAGTGCTTGCCACAATGTCGTTTTCTGGTTGACATATATCTAAGAAATGCGTATATTAACACCCAGGCTATAGAGCCAAGCACATTTTAGTGCCGGCTACAGCTGAAAGAATATGTTTCCATTCCTTGTCCATCTGTTCTTGGCAACATAAATTTAAACTAGAAACACAGAATAAGTTTCATGAGAAATATGTCTAAATGGCGTTTAGAACAGCAAGGTGGATGCTCTACATTAACATTTGATTTTGTAGCTAAAATATTGTTTTTACTTGGAGTAATCTCATGCTACTGCTACAGCTTACAGTTAAAAATAATAGGTTTTTATTATTCATTTAAAAGTTTGGTGGGTTGGTTACGTATTCTTCTTAAAGTGCTTTTATTAAATTTCCCTACAATCCTGGGCTTAATGAACTTTGAGATTGCAAAGCACTATTTGCTACCACACAGTTGAACTACACTGAAAATAAATCATTAGCATCTCTAAACTCTATGCTAAAATGGAGTCATGAGTGACGAGTAAGCACATTCGGTACAAAAGATTCCATACAAAACATATTTGTTTGCTTTTCTATGAGTCCAACCTCAGCTATGACCAACTATTACGTAGGTATCTTGTATAATAGTCATGCCTTCCACTGTATTCCGCTCCTTTAGTTTTCCTGCTACTCAACAATATAAAATTATTTATTTACATTTGAAAATGCACAAAAACACATAAGAATATTACAATGGAAAAGAACCATATATGTTCACCTAGACTTCGGCCTCCAAATCAAGGTTCCCAGCCCTCTGAGTCTTGTGACAGGACTGTCTGGGATTCTGTTGATGTGAATTCAACTTCTGCTTTCTGGCTGAATGCAAATATTCAGATGGAAAGGAACCCTGAAGCTCACACAGTCCAACCCCCTACCTTTATGTTAAGATGATTTCTAAAATTTTGAAAAGTCTGCCCTATTCATATGATTAATTTATCAAATGTAGCATAGTGCATCAAAGCAATTGGGTTCACATATTGGCTCTGTCGCTTTCTAGGTATGTGAATATGAATAGTTATTAACTTCTTCAAGGTTAGCTTCTCTATCTGTAAATGCAAATAATCACATTTATCTGAAGTTGGTCTGGAGCAGGAGCAAATGAGATAGTACAAAGCAGTTAGTCCTAGTAAATACTCAACAAGTGATACCTCTTACTATTAGCCCCTTTCTAATATCCTTTGCTAAAAAGAATTAATTATAATTATTGCATAGGACTAATTATCTAGTCTACTCCAAAACAGTATTTTGGTAGGGTATTGCTTAACATCAGAAAAAACATTTCACAAAACTATTGTTTCTTCTTTGCTCAAAGTTGAACTTCTGCTGTGCACAAAGTTAACCTATTACTGTGGACAAATTACTCAAAAATCTGGGGACTCCATCCTCTAAGGTATAAAATGAGAAGCTTCTACTCCATGATCTCTAAGGTCTCTTGTTCGAGCAACTTAACAAAGTCATGTTTGACAGCATATCCTCATATTTTATTTATAGTGTTGAAATGTGTATTTGCTGCCAATTGTCTGATGTGGGGTGTATAAATGGTCCATATATATATGTGGAATAACATTAAGTTTGTTGATGTTAAAAACTACTGGTATATATTTTTTTGGTATTCTTTGGCTCAGAATCTGCACTTCCCATTTTGTTTTAGAATAAGCTGACAGCAAATCATTTTCTACAGAACCTCAAGGTTTAGTTAAACTGAGAGTTATAAAAGTAGGCCATCTTTTTATTACTTTAGGTTTCTAAGACAAGCTTTTTTTGTGAAGTGGCTTTTTTTAAATCTCCATAATATCCAATAGTATTAAATTGTGGACATATGTGTACACATTGTAACTTAAAAGGCATCTGCTTTCTTTCAGATCTGAGCGACCAACTGCTGGAGGTGGTTGGCTTGGAAGGAGCCATGGAGATGGGGCAAATATACACAGGCCTGAAAAGTGCCGGCCGACGACTGGCTCAGTGTTCCTGCGTGGTCATCAGGTAGTTCTCTTTCTATAATTGACAAAGGTGTTTGATATGGCATAGCCTCAAACTAATTAAAAGTATGCAGAACTCTGATAGTAACATTGTCTTATTTGGGCTCCAAATGATCAGTAATTAATGCTAATATATTTCAAAATAATGAGCATTGGCAGATTTTATAAAATACTGGTTACCTATTACTTATCCGGTTTGGTGGAATCTGATTCTCTCTTGTTGACTACCATGGACGCATTGATGCACGAATTCAAAGATACAAATTCTATGGTTTATACTCACGTTAGTCTACTGAAGCCCCAAAGTATTTACTGGGCTAAAAATGTAATGAAAACAATGATGAGACACCATTGTTTAATGGACTAAAGTGTCACAATGTTTCTATAAAATTAAATAAAAAATTATTGTGCAGTAAGATTTTATATGTTTTAAATTTGAACTTTTTCAAGTATATTTTTCCCCAAAATTTCATCTGCAGGAGAAAAATAATAATAATAAAGGTCTTCTATCTCTCTCTCTTTTTTTTTTTCAAGATGGAGTTTTGTTCTTGTTGCCCAAGCTGGAGTGCAGTGGCACGATCTTGGCGCACTGCAACCTCCACCTTTCTGGTTCAAGCGATTCCCAGCCTCAGTATCCCAAATAGCTGAGATTACAGATGCCCGCCACCACACCCAGCTAATTTTTATATTTTAATAGAGACGGGGTTTCACCATATTGGCCAGGCTGGTCTTGAACTCCTGGCCTCGTGATCTGCCCGAGTGAAACCACGGATTGCAGCACAAACATAGTTGATGTTATTTATCTGAAAGTGTTGGTGTTGGAAAATCTGAGATATCAAACACCTTTCTCCTGGTTTGCAATGCAGGCTTATGAAAACAAGGAAGCTCTTTTGGCTGTGGAAATTCTGATCATGCCATTAAACACAAACCTTGATATTTTTCTTTGGCATTAAGAATTTTTTTTAAAACCACCACCTTTACCAGGAAGCTCATAATATTCTTGCAACTAAGATACTTTTCAGGGTATTTATAAATAGTGGAGAGTTGAAGCTCCTCTCATGGGAGATAAATTTAGAGCCCAGCTATTACCATATTGCCTTCCCTGGTCTCATCATCTTCTATCTCACATATAGTCTGTAATATAAAGTATTTCAGTGCTGTACCTAAAATGAAATGTTCTCCCCCAGGACTAGCAAGTCTCTGCCAATGCAAATTGATGGGGAGCCATGGATGCAGACCCCATGCACAGTGAGTACAGAGTAGATGATGTGCCGTGTTTTGCTTTCCTTTATGACTAAATAACCACTATATCTGATTTTTTTATGTCTTTTCAACTTATCAGCAAAGTCTTGTTGTTGTTGTAGTTGTGTGTCAGAGCCACTGCACTTAGGTGTTAGACATTACATACCCTTGGCAACAATTTTGCTCTTGAATGTTTGTGATATCCTAAGTATAAATAAATCTTTTAAATAGATCAATTATAAGCCATAGACCAATTATCAACTCTGGAATGAAACTAAAATATTAACAAAAGTTTCTCTTAAACTTTTTGTGTTTCTGTCAGAGCACCTCATGAAAATATTATTCACAAGACCTGCAGACATAAACTTAAATCTGAATTTATTTCTCATCTGTTCTTTTGCTTCCATTTGGGGATTTGAAGCCTTTCTTCTCCGCAGGGGAAAAAAAAATCCTCTCCAGTTTTTACCATAGTTGTTTTTTGTAGAATGAGATATTTAAGTCAGACATTTTGCCCCTCAAAAAAATTCAATTTTCATTTGCATAGTGAATATTTTATTACATTTCAAAAACATGTTAGGAACTGCTTTTGGCACTGAGAGTAGAAACATGAACAAGACCAACAATGTAACTTTTTTCAAGTTACTTACATTCCACTAACAGTGGACCAAATAAATAAACAAATATATGATAAATATAACTTCATATTGTAAGAGTGATTTAAAAAAAATAAGGAGAAATGATGAAGAGAAACTGGATTAAGTGTGGCAAATACTTCTTGAGATAAGTGGATCTAGGAGAACTCTTTGAAAGGACCGAGCCAAAAGCTCAGTATGAAATCAAAAACAAAAAACAAAAATTAACCGAGCATATTGGCACTCACCTGTAGTCCTAGCTACTCAGGAGGCTGAGGCAGGAGAATGGCTTGAAGCCACGAGGCAGAGGTTGCAGTGAACCAAAATTTTGCCACTGTGCTCCAGCCTGGGTGACAGAGTAAAACTCCATCTCAAGAAATACAAATGAAAATAAAATAAAGGCATTAAGGAGGATGGTGTGACCAAAGCTTCTAGAATTAGGGGAGAATGGTAAGACATCAAGTACGAAAGGTAGACACATAGACAGAAAATAGATCACATAGAAAAAGTTGTGATAAAGAGTTAAATTTTGATTTTAAGCCCAATAGGAAACTACTGAAAACTGTAACCATCATCTGATTTACATTTTTTAAGTTTACAGTGGCTGCTCTGTAGAGGATTGATTGTACTGAGCAGCAACTGAGAGGTTGGTCTATCCTAGTACTCTGGGCTAGAAGGATGACAGCAGGGAGGTGAAATGAAAGTGGATGAATTTAAGCTGCATTCCGGAGGTTAAACAGGAAAAATTGACTAATGAGTTCTTGAGGGTACAGGATGGGGGAGGAAGGAAAGAACTGAATCGAAGTTAACTCTTTTTAAATTTTTTTTTATGATTATACTTTAAGTTCTGGGGTACATGTGCAGACTGTACAAGTTTGTTACATAGGTATACACGGCCTTGGTGGTTTGCTGCATCATCACTCCGTCACCTACATTATATATTTATCCTAATGCTATCCCCTCCCTATCTCCCCATACCCTGCTATCCCTCCCCTAGCTCCCCTACCCCCTGACAGGCCCTGGTGTGTGATGTTCCCCTCCCTGTGACCATGTGTTCTCATTGTTCAACACCCACTTATGAGTGAGAACATGTGGCGTTTGGTTTTCTGTTCTTGTGTCAGTTTGCTGAGAATCATGGTTTCCAGATTCATCCATGCCCCTGCAAAGGACATGAACTCATCCTTTTTTTATGTTTATATAGTATTCCATGGTGTATATGTGCCACGTTTTCTTTATCAAGTCTATCATTGATGGGCATTTGGGTTGGTTCCAGGTCTTTGCTATTGTCAACAGTGCCGCAATAAATGTACATGTGTGTGCGTCTTTATAATAGAATGATTTCTAATACTTTGGGTATATACTCAGTAATGGGATTGCTGGGTGAAATGGTATTTCTAGTTCTTAAGGAATCGCCACACTGTCTTCCACAATGGTTGAACTAATTTACACTCCCACCAGCAGTGTAAAAGTTTCCCTATTTCTCCACATCCTCTCCAGCATCTGTTGTCTCCTGATTTTTTAATGATCGCCATTCTAACTGGTATGAGATGGTATCTCAGTATAGTTTTGATTTGCCTTTCTCTAATGACCAGTGATGATAAGTATTTTTTCATATGTTTGTTGGCTGCATAAATGTCTTCTTTTGGGAAGTGTTTGTTCATATCCTTTACCCACTTTTTGATGGGTTTTTTTTCTTGTAAATTTGTTTAAGTTCTTTGTGGATTCTGGATTTTAGCCCTTTGTCAGATGGGTAGATTGCAAAAGTTTTCCCATTCTGTTGGTTGCTGGTTCACTCTGATGATAGTTTCTTTTGCTGTGCAGAAGCTCTGAAGTTTATTAGGTCCCATTTGTCTATTTTGGCTTTTGTTGCCATTGCTTTTGGTGTTTTAGTCATGAAGTCCTTGCCCATGCCTAAGTCCTGAATGGTATTGCCTATATTTTCTTTTAGGGTTTTTATAATATTAGGTCTTATGTTTAAATGGTTAATCCATCTGAAGTTAATTATTGTGTAAGGTGTAAGGTTTACACTTACCTGAGAATGATAGTGTCATTTACTGAGTAGTTAAAATTAAGAGAGAAACTGGTTAGAGGGCAACAGGGGAAGCTCCTAATCTTGCTCAAGCATTGTGCTAAATGCTTATGTTATATGTAAGTATTTATTAAATATTCACACAAATTCTAAATAATGGAACCACCCTTTTTTAGATGGGAAAAATACAAGTTTTAGGAGGTTAAATAGCATACTCAAGGTCAGGTCTGAACTAGATATGGAACTAAAATCTAAGACTCTTTAACTAAAGCCCATTCTCTGAACCACTAGTTTAGACAGCTCTAGTGACAGATTTCAAACAGCACAGATTAGCATGGAAGAAGGTTTTTCATCTTACCTTTGTAACGGTTTTACTCTGAAGCTATTGGCTCAAACTTTGTGTACAGGACATAAACATAACTTTGTATTTGTTTCTGGTGTATTTGTTTAGCTACCTGAAGATTACACGTTTTTTCCTCCCTTCACCAGCATGTAAACACATACATATTTTCTGCAATCTTTCACTCTCCAAATGACACTTCTAAATTCACATGATTATACTCACATGGATGTTAAAGATGTTGTTAATGATGGTGATGGTGAGAGTTATAATGCTGTTAGCAGGGGTGGGGATGGTTATGATGGTGGTAAGGGTAATAATGATGATTTTGATGGTGGAAATAGTGGTAAAACTTGTGGTAGTGGTGCTAGGTGCAGTGGTGGTGGTTGCAGTGCAAGATAGTAGTGGTTGGTAGTGGCGCTGTTTTTAATGAAAAGTCACTTTTCCTTGGCGTTGATAACAAAAGAATAAGTAAATCAAAGACAATATAACCAACTAGCTTCCATGAATACTCTTTGTATTATTTTGGACTCTTCTCAGGAGAAGAGGCACTTAGCCCTTATGCCATGTTTTCAGTTAAGAAGCAGTCACAGGTGTGATAATACCCAACATTTATTAAGTTCCCAGAATGTCATGTACAGTGTGAGGCACTTGACCCATGTTGACACATTTAATTCCCACAAAAAGTCTATGGTTATCCTTGTTTTATAATGAAATAACTGAGAAAGACAAAGGTTAAATAGTCAATTCTGCACACCTAATAAACAGCAGAGTAGCAAGGGAAACCCAGGTAGTCTGGCTCCAGCATCTGCATGCCTCATCTCTGCTCCTCATTGTGAAGCTCAACAAAAAATGGCCCCAGTGCCTCCTGAAGATCTCCCTCCAGTGTGTGTGACCTTTGGCAAATGACTGACATCCTTTCTCTCTGACTACGTTTCAAGTTTCTCCAGCTAGAAAATGTCTGCCTATTGAAATTTAATTAATGTGTTAGAATAATTTTAGCTTGTTTAACACAAGCACTTTTAATACTACTTTTGTAAATTTTTATTTCAATAAGTAATAAGACATTCATTTCACCTGGTAACGATCATGATTTACAATTGTTAAATTAACAATAATTTTTATGTAATTTATATTTAATTTTCTTCCCTTGTAAACTCACTTACTCATTTAGAACATTTATTGCAGCCTACAGCAAGCCAAGAATCATAGTAGACTGTGGCTCATTATTGTGATTGTACATTCTGGCATACTCTCTTTTTCCTAGAGCCACATAGGGTTCTGACCTTTATATTTCACTGTAATGGGAGAGAAGACTTAGTATTCATAACACTGGTATGGTTAACTATGGAGTGTTTTTTGCTTCAATTGAATAACACAATATTTTTCTTACAGAACATAAGAATGCTACAATGTTACAATTCTCTGCTGAATTTAAATATCTGTAAGCTGATACTCAATTTATGAAGGCATTGCTCTAGATATAATTTTAGAGGAGAACAGAAGTTCTGTTTTTCTTTAAGTAGAGTAAGTAAAATGGAAATATCAATTAATTCTTGCTTAAAAATCAAGACAATATAAGTTTTGGAGCTGGTGGGTAGTTATGATAACAAAACAATGTGATAGAACTTGGCGCCATTGAACTACACGCTTGGAAATGTAAGTTAAAATAGTGAATTTTGTGTCACATCTATTTTACGGTAATGAAAAAGGCATTGAGAAAAAAATAATGTAACATTTATTTATGAATTCCACCAATATTGAGTTGAAAGATCAGGAAAAGAAAACACCAAAGAGCTTAATACTAACTCTTCAAATACGTATTTTATAATTATTTTTAGGACCCTCTTAATTCTGTCACTATAGAGCCATCAATATAAACTCTTGTTAAGTGCTCCTGTCTTCCTTGTTTTGTAATAATCACTGAGTTAACACCGAATGATTTTAGCCATATAACTATTGCTTGTGGGACTAAGCACCAACTAAAGAGAATATTAATTCTGGA